TTTAAGTTTATAATATGTATATATTTAAAGTTATATATGTGTAGTGTATCAACTATCCGGTATCCATAACACAAGCCTCGTAGCTTAACATGGAACTAGATGGTACTGTGTGTTAATGTTCTAACATGTTTATTTATTATTTATTCTAAAGGTAAGTCGCTACTGTACGTCGAAATAAGCATCGAAAACGATATTTACGAGCTAAGAGAGTGATATTGTTTAGCATTTTATAAGGTTACTTATGTATATGTATACTTCGATCCACCTGCGTCTAAACGAAATTCTTTGTCAAAGTTTTGCATGCCTTCAACTCGTTAGTCTGCCTCTGTAGAGACGGGTTTCAGTAAATACATTGTTACTGCTATTTCTTGCGTTAAATGAGGAAAATTAAAATGACGAATATAAAAGGGTTGTATTCATACCGCTTTTAAAGTCCCACTGCTGGGCGAGGGCTTCCCTTCAAAATAAGAGGAATCAGACCATAGTCTACTACACTGGCCAAGTGGATTGTTGGACTTCACATGTCTTTAGAAAACTTAATATAGTCTCTCAGACAAGCTGGTTTTCTGACAATGTTTTCCTTCACTGTAATGTAAGGCTTATTTTGTTATAAATAAAGTTCAATTTAAATCATTAGCACAAAAATATTAAGTAAAAGTCTAAAACTAGCGACTCACCCTCGTTCTGCTCGGGTTCGTCCCTAGATACGTTTTAACGGTTAGTATAGATTTCTCAGAGATGAGATATTTTCCCACAATAAAAAGTATCCTATATGTTTATTTATTTATATAATAAACATCTATTTAATATAGGTATAACTGACAGTCCACTTTGCAGGGCATGCATGGGGGCAGATGAAACGGCTGCACATGTGATCTTGTATTGTCCAGGTGTAGCGGAGTACCGGGCTCAACATCTTGGCACTCCTAGGTCACTCCCGGAAATCTTCGGCAAGACAAAGAAGTTGCTGAAATTCCTGGAGGAGCTGGGATGGCAGGAGTAACGAGAATTTAAATTCCCACACACGCAAAATAGGCGCATAGTCGTCGAGTTGCGGAAACCAGCCCGAACATACCATACCATACCATACCATCCTATATGTTGACCCGGATAACCAGCTATCTTCATACCAAATTTCATCAAAATCCGTCTAGTGGTTTTCTCGTGATGCGTTTCCAGACAGACAGATAGACAAAAATTCTAAAAACTAATAGATGCGGCCTCTGTTTCGATAATAATTACTATTTGAATAAGATCTCATATAAATGAATATTATCTAAATATGTAATATATCTAAAACTAAAACGTTTAGGCTACAAAGCGTGTACATAAGCACTAAAACATTAACTCTAAGCACTCGTATAATTAATAATCATAGTTTAAATAGTTGTGGTTTCTGTTGTATGAAAATTGTCTTCACATATTCGTGTTGCCCTGATTATTTAACAAATCACATAGCTACATTCAAAATAATATATCTATACATAATTAAGCAAAGACAAAACTGTTCAGTACCTTTTGTCGTCTGTCTGTCCATCGTTATTTTTTTAATATCTATTACATTTATAAGTACAAGCTTTAGAGTTGTCAATCAAAAAATTGCAAATTTTTTTTTTAAACATTTAGTCAAATTCAATGATGAGTATGCTCGAATCTCAACATCTGGGCGAAAAATAGTTATAAATAGTTAAAAATATATATAACGATGAAGTAAATTTAATTATAATTAATCTATTTATTCTTGATTTAGAAAAACAAAAACAAATCCCTCGGGAACCGTATATTTTTCCGAGATCCGGGATAAGTAGACTGTGTATTATTCCAGACTATAATCTATCTCTGTGCCAAATTTCAACTATATCCGTTCAACCGTTCTGGCGTGAAAGAGTAATACATCCATACATACTCACAAACTTTCACATTTATAATATTTATACAGATAGAACTTAAAAATTTTTTTCGTGAGTAGACATGTGAGGTTTACCAACACGCATTTGGCTAGCGTGGTGGACAATGGCTTGATCCCCCTCGTATTGAAGAGGCCCGTACCCAGCGACGTTAAAGAGGGCTGAATAAAAATTCCACGTTTAGATGTAATATCCAATAGCAACAAACATCTAGAAAAGATAATAATTTCCTTCTATATATATATATATAAATATATATATATATATATAAATATATATATAAAATACTAGCACTCACACCGCTCACACGTAACTTCTCTCGTATAGATGTTACTAAAGATTTAGTCTATAAATGAAGAAATGCTCTATCCAAATAAGTAAAAGGCGTATTTTGGCTTGCCTGGCATACGTCATTTATTTAAATAGCTTATTTTAGCTTTAGTTTTTCGCCCAAGACTCGGCATTGCCATTCAGCGGGGGAATGCGGCTAGCATTCTTGCCGCTATTCCACGCGGACATGACTTGTGCAGTAATAATTAAATGTACATTTATTTTGTATATATAATTAAGTATATTTGTAATTTTCTTTACTAACAAAATATAATCATCAATCAATCAAGCTACTCAAGCTTCCGTATTTGTAAGTATCAGGTTCGATTCCTGAAAGTTGCTATGTTTGTTTTATCACAATTTGTCCTATATGGAAATGAAAATCGTGATTCGGAAAGAATTAATTAGTATAGTTAAGCGCTATTTGTTTATTCGCAAGGGATATTGGCATATCCATACTAATATTATAAATGTGAAAGTGTGTTTGTTTGTCCTTCTTTAGTTTTTTTGTGTGGAGATATTTGATGGGCTGGAGAGTGACATAGGCTACTTTTTACCGCGGGAGATTATCTCATTCCCACGGGAAAACGCGTTATAATACAACCCAAAAAATATTTATGATCAGAATTACTTGAAACTTGGTATAAATGCTCTTCAATAAAATTAAATAAATCATGTTTTAACATTTTTCAAAATTCATCCTACAAGAGGGTAAAATAGGGGATGGAAGTTTGTATGAGACTTACTTTTTAGATATTTTTTGTAGTTTTAGCGCGAGCGAAGCCGCGGATTCTGCTAGTTATGAATAAATTAATAAATATATTGGGACATTAACACACCGCAACATCTAGTTCCATGGTAGGCTACGAGGCTTGTGTTATGGATACCAGATAGTTCATACACTACATATATATAACTTTAAATACATATATATTATAAATATTCCCAAGGAGGGTTGACGTCAGGCAGGCGGCCGGTCAAAAATTTTGCCAAATCCTTTCAGCAGTACAAAAGATATACTGCGCCGACCCCATGCCATTGGGAAATGGGCAAGGAAAAGAAGAAGAACAAGACATACATATTATAAATATGAAGGTATGTATCCGTGACTGGAGTGCAAACATTCGTGTTCATCACACAAACGAATGCCTCCAGTGGGACTCGAACCCGCGACCGCTGGCACAGCAAGTAGGGTCATTACAAACTGAGCCAAAAGTATCGTTAAACAAATTATTTAAATATTAAAATTACCTATTTTGATATGATGATAATATGTCTGTCTAATTCATTTAATTTTAACTATTAATAAAAACATCTGGCCCGAATAAATCATGTCACATAAGAATTTTTGAATAAAAATATTCCAAGCCACAATTCTAACACCTGTATGTCAAAACAACCTACTTCCGTTATCATTTTCAATGTATTCTAACATTTATTTTAGTTATAAATATAGGTTTATACATCGCTTGTCTACACTAGGTCAGAAGTTTTTACGTGGTTTAATATGAATGTATAAAAATTCTTTTACAATTTATAAAATAAAACTTGTTATTGCACATGGCTTGGAGCTCGTATGGGAAGTGGAAAAACTATATAAGGTAGCCTATATATGACCGCACAATGCAATCTATGTGATTGTACAATTACATCGAAATCTGTTCAGCAAGTTAAGCATGAAAGCGTAACTGACAGACAGACTTAGAGAGACATATTATATTATCATTATTTATAGATTTAATCATAATGGCCAGTACTGCATTTTGAATATTTTTGTACTTTTGTTATATATGGTCGTAGTTGAAGTTTCATTAATAGTCATATCTGTTTCAACGCGCCTCATTAGGATAATAATAGAATAATTTCAAAGGGGTTTTTTGCTGGTACTAATGTGAAATAAAACAGGCCAATTTCTTTAAAATCTATTAAATAGTCTGGAAGATGTAACAAGACACAATTGTCTTGTATAGTTATATACTGCTCGCCTTTCACCAAACTTAAAGCTTATATGAAATCGGGAACCAGTTAAGTAATAGGGAACACACTCGAGACAAGCCGCGGCTAGTTGTCTGCATATATAAATAAATCTTTAATAAATAAATCTATATCCTAATATATCTATATAATAATGAGTTTGTTTATTTGTTTGTTTGAACGCGGTAGTCTATGGGACTAGTCTATTTAAAAAAAAAACCTTTTTGTTGTCTATATCCCCTTCTTCAAGGAAGATTACGTATCAAACTCACGCCACGTATCATATAAATAGAATAATTATTAATACGTAAATAAACTGCACAAGAAAAGTCAAAGACAATCCCTAGTTTTTCATTAAAAATATAATATCGTAACTTTCAGTTTTAACATTTTTATCGCTGTATTTCTTTGGCTACGAAATTTTAGGGAAATGAATAATAAAAAAAGTTCGCGAAGCAATTGTTCACAGATGAATTAAATCGCTGAATCGCACAATGAAAATACAAAACACTTAAAACATTTACCCGCTATGCGATTAAGAAAATCTATGTTGTAAGTCCCTCATTATTAATAATTTCAAAATATTCCAAAGTACACTTGATTAAATCAAAATTTTTGAGCGCGAAACTTCCATCGCACTTATCTTAGCTAGAATCTATCAATATCCACAATTTTTGTGTACCATGAAATACAAAAGAAATATATGAAAAAATATTTATTTCATAAAAAAACACCAAACACAATCGCTCGTAACAACTTTCGCAGCGGTAACAAATATTCAAAACTTACCAGCTTTCAGATATAGGGATGATCACTGCTGATCTACATTGAAATTTTCTTTAGACATATTTGGGTGAAACCGGCGGGCTTATTTTACGGCGGTTGACCTCTAAAGAAATACACGGTTTGTTTATTGATGGACGCGAAGTTTTTGTATGTGAGGACCACAGAGAGAACGTTTAGTCGCTCGGCGGCGCGAGTACAGACTGATTCGCTGCGGTTCTCTCTAGCTTCGAAGTTCCACGGTGTAGTGACGTACGCTGTTTTATAGCTTTGCTGACACCTTGCTACCTTTGTTTGGCTGTCGTTTATTGTCATTATCTATACATTATAATAAAATTGTAACTAAGTCGAATCTGTACATTAAATATTTTTTGGAAAATCTAATTGAAATAGACATTATTATCGATAAAGAATCCGAATCTATAGTTTTTAGAATTTTTGGCTGTCTGTCTGTCTGTTACCGCATCACAGAAAAACCACTAGAGGGATTTTGATGAAATTTTGGTACGGTGATAGCTGGTTATCCGGGTCAACATACAGGATACTTTTTATTGCGGAAAAATATCTCATTTCTGAGAAAAACTACAAAAACTGCAACGTAAGAGTATACTAATTTGTAAAACTTAAGAATTTGGTTTTTGGTCATCTGAGCGCGGGCGGAACCGCGGGCAATGCTAGTATCTTATATTTTCAAGTAACAAAACTCATCCAAACCACAAATGAGAAACACGCCATACCTTTACAATCAATTAACATTCACAAAGCACATTCACACACTTATTTCATTAATTTCCAAATACATTAGGGGTGAAATATCGAATATCTATAATAATATTATACCCCTGCTCTAATTCTAAGCCCGGGCGGCCCCTCTTTCGTCCCTTTGCCCTAAAGTCTTGCTATACGCACTCAACTATAGTTCATGTTTCTTACTGTGATCAATTGAAAAAGATCCTCAGAAACATGAACATTCTTAAATTAAAACTATGCTTTACTTAGTTAATGAATTCTTCGAGTAATTTTAGCAGTTTTATTGACTTTATAAATTAGTTTTGATATTTTGTGTTAAAAATGTTAGTTACAGCATGTTATTAGCTCTAAGCTTTGAAATATTTTAGTAGGTTTTTCCAGTGTTCCCAGTGTTTTAGTAGAAGGTTCCAATTAAAGTATATCCTTCATTTAGTAACTAGCACTGCCCACGGCTCCGCCCGCGTTCCGATGACCAAAAACCAAATTCTTAGGTTTTACATATTAGTGTACTCTTATTTTTTGTATTTTTTCTCAGAAATATGACATTTTCCCGCGGTAAAAAGTATCCTATATGTTGACCCGGATAACCAGCTATCATCATACCAAATTTCATCAAAATCTGTCCAGTGGTTTCCCGTCATGCGTTCTCAGACAGACAGAATTTTTTTGAAAAACTATAAATTCGGCCTGTGTGTCGATAATAACGACTATTTCAATAAGATTTTCCAAACAAATATTTAATGTACAGATGCGACTCGGAATTTTATTATATATATAGATGAGTTCAAAACTTAGCGTAGAGTCCAATCTTGATTTTCACCGAGTATTTCCGATTATTGAAGTCAATAATAGAACTCGGTGGTAGCCTACCTTGTTATCTTAGATTATAATATCTATATTAACACAGATAAATTTTGTTATTCCTTGCTATTTCCCTTGCGGATGAGGTAGGTAGAGAGTTTCCTGCGCCACACACGTAGCAACGCGGTTACTGGGTTAGCCATTAGATTTGGCACGTATTAGTTCACGTAACCGGATTTTATTTTAGCTTTTAAATAAGCTTTTAATAAGAATATTGAACTGGAATACTGAACTCGAAGCAACGTCTGAAACTTTTAGCTTTTTTAAAATAAATTATTTGTATATATCATTTTAGTACTAAATGTAATATAATAATGAAAATTAAAGTTATTGGTGTACTCTATATTGTGTCTATACGTTTTTTATATTTTTTTATAATGACGACACGTTTGGCTCAGTTTGTTGTGACCCTACTTGTACCCTGCGGTCGCGGGTTCAAGTCCCTCTGAGGACATTCATGTGTGTGATGAGCACGAATGTTTGTACTCCAGTCATGGGTGTTTATATTTATAACTAGCGAGCTAGGTACGTTTTAAATTAAAATTGATATAGTATGTTATCCTTAAAAAAGGCAGTGGTAGCCCAGTGGTAACGCTCTCGCTTGGGAAATCGAGTGAAGCGGGTTCAAATCCCGGGTCTCGCACCTCTGATATTTTCATGTACGAATCATGTCTAACATGATTACCACTTGCCTTACGGTGAAGGAAAAACATCGTGAGGAAACCTGCATGTCTGAGAGAACTTAGCAAGTTTTCGAAAGACATGTGAAATCCGCCAACCCGCACTTGGCCAGCGTGGTGGACTATGGCCTGATCCCCCTCGCATTGAAGGGAGGTTCGTGCCCAGCAGTGGGACGTTAAAAAGGGCTGAATACAAATTATATAAAAAATATAGGCTTTTAGGGTTAAGCAATTTATGTAAGCATAATATGCATATTTCATTTTATGGCTAGTATATGCCAATAATATATGCTAATAATAGACAATAAATATTAATTATAATTGGACTTCAGTACATTTTATTTCCCGCACTGACATAGTTCCTAAAGGCTTAATTCAAAAGCAATAAAGATAATAAAAAAAATAGTTCAGGAATATTTAAATCACACGCATATCTCTATTGTATGTTAATCCGGATTTTACGTAAAAAGGCTGAAATCAATACAACAACTATTATTGATACTAGATTTCGTCCAGTTGTCGGCATTCGGACACAATTGAAAAGAGGAAAACATAAATGAATTTATATTTCTAACGTTGTTTTCCTACATTTTTACATTGGTTTATTGTATCCCTGAGAATATATTTTATACTAGCATTGCTCGTGGCTCCGCCAGTGTTCAGATGACCAAAAACCAAATTCTTAGGTCTTACAAATTAGTATACTCTTACATTACAGTTTTTGTATTTTTTCTCAGAAATGCGGTAAGAATCCTATATGATGACCCAGCTATTACCATACCAAATTTCATCAAAATCCCTCCAGTAGTTTTTCTGTGATGCGGTAACAGATAGACAGACAAAAATTCTAAACTATAGATTCTTCCTCTGTATCGATAATAATGTTTATTTCAATAAGATTTTCCCGCAAATAAATAATGTACAGATTCGGCTTAGTTACAATTTTATTATATGTATAGATTAATGACTTAATTTAAACGTCGATATAGATGTAAGATTGTATCTTCATTTAATTGAAACAGTTTTTGATGCAGGATTAAATTCTAACAATTTTTATTGATCGTTTTGATTCTGGAAAGATAATATTTCAGTCCTGAAAAAAACTGGTTAAAGCCTAGACTAAAAATATTTACTACTTTATTTTCATTAAACTATAAATTACAATATTTATGTAACATTGTTATAGCTTGAAAGCGATCTTTTACAAGGTTTTATTTAACTTGCAATGCTTGTATGTACGTTTGTTCAGGTCAAATCTTGCAACTGAATTTTGAAGCATTTTTAGCATACACGTTTTATTTAAAAAAAAAATATTAAAATTCTTCCAAACCCAAATATCATTATAAATTGTCTTAGGTAAGATTTACGAGTATATAAGTACTTAGTCATGTATATATTTATAACATGGTAAAAGGGAGACAGTGTTACGACTTGATCGCATGAAAAATCATTAAGCCATCGAAATCCAAGGACACATTGTTGTACTATTAAATGTAATTAAGTAATTAATTCTTAAATCAAAACGTATACGCCTCTATATACACATAATATATACTACATGAGACCTTTAATTTAAGTAAAGTGATTATTAAAAAATTATCATTTAAATTGGTTCACAATAATTATCAAAAATAATAATTATTGAAACACAAAAACAGGAATCTCACGGGCGATATACATTTTTCCAGGATAAAAAGTAACCTATTAGCTATTCCATACTATAATCTATCTCTGTGCCAAACTCCATTCAGATCCGTTTAGCTGTTCTGGCGTGATGAGTAAGAAACATCCATCCAAACTATCGCATTTATAATATTTATGGGATGGGATTGCGTAATATACTCGAACATACATATTAACAATGTACATTTAAAAATAGAAGACGGTTCTCAATCTCTCTCTCAATTCCTAGACAAAACAAAGTTTGAGCTTATTTAGTATATGAAAATTTATGTCAGTATACCACTAACATACTTTTTTAAATATATTTAATACTAGCCACCCACCCTCGCTTCGCTCGAGTTTGTCCCTAGGTTGCTTCCCCATACAAACTTTCATCCCCATTTTCACCCCCTTAAGGATCGATTACCGGGATAAAAACTATTCTATGTCCTTTCCAGGGTCTCAAACAAATCTTTCCTCTTTATAATATTAGTATAGATTGATATCATTATATCCCTCTAACGCAAATAAAACCCTGAGTGTTAAAGTTTCAAACGTTATCTATCTGCAGCATCCGTAGCTTTCAACCAAATGTGCCGAATTTTTTACATTTTTACCTATTAGCATATTCAACGTAGAGAAGAGACAAACATATAGACTTACGTAACATACTCGTATATAAAAAAAATTCAAGTACAAAATTTTTAAATGGCTTTGGCTCGCGTAGCATTTTAAGAGGCAGTTATAAACGTACAATATTTCTAGGTACATTTGAAAAGGTAGTACTTTGTTCTTAGTATATTATATACGCTTAAACAATTTTAATTGAAAGTTTTTTAATAAAGTCAGAGAGACAGCTATTTGAATGTGGTCTAGAGTTCAAAAAGCGTGCAAAACTAGTCTCAAACTTTAATGTTTTTAGTTAAAGCACATGCATTCAGATATATATATATATATATATATATATATATATATATATATATATATATATATATATACATATACCTACACCTGTTCTTTATTGAAATATGTATAATACAAAATTAACTCATTCAGTACTAAATGAAATTATCCCCGAACACTAGCGATTTACCCTCACTTTGCTCGTGTATTTATTTTCTTCTTTGTACTTTTAATATTACAAGTAACTTGTACTTCTTTTTATGTTTATTATTTATTTATGCGTACCAGTTGGGCTTTTTTATTCGGCAATTTTCTTCTTTGTTTTAGTTTACATCACCAAGAAGATTTTATTTCATTCCAAATCTATACAGATAAATAAAATTGAAGTGTCTGTTTGTAATGTCAAAATAACAGCTTTTTAATAAATGCATATGGAATTATATACGGTATATATAGGAATAACACATTTTTTTTTAAATTTGTCTGTCTGTTTGTTCCGGCTAATCTTCGAAACGGCTGAGATGATGTTTGACGGGACTTTCACTGGCAGGTAGTTGATGTTATAAGGAGTAACTTAGGCTACTTTTATTTCAGTAAAATAATTAGGGTTCCGTTCAAAAAAAAATAAATGTACCTAGGGACGAACCCGAGCGAAGCGAGAGTGAGTCGCTAGTTATTATATAATCTTGTGGGAAGATACTGCCTGTAATAAGTAAGATTTTTCAAATGTCAATTACTTTAGTCTCACCAGTGATCATGTTTACTGTAAAGCATTCGAAAATCGTGGAAAAAAAAAAAATAAGGTCAAACCCCGTTAATCAAAAAAAAAGTTTTATGGTGTCCAATTTTTTTCGCATAGAATTAGTAGGATTAGTAAGAAAGAATATTTACTTATCTTTCAAATCCAAAAAGGACTTAGAGTTATATCTATCGTATAGTTTATTCTTGCCATATTTTACACCCTTTTCAACTCGCGGTTCCATGACGTTTTCAGTGAGGAAGGCAAAAATGTTAGTACGGTCGCAATGCGGCGTAAAAGCGTCTATATACCTTCATTACTATACTGTCCACGGAACCCTTTCGTGTAAGTAATATATTATGTATATGTGAAAAGTGCGTTTCTTTATATGATTGTTAAATGTGCCTTTTTTTATTCAAAATAAAAAAGGTCTCACACGAGAATCAAACACAGGACCTCTAACAAAAAAGTACAGTTTTAGTAGATTCTTCATTATTTTAACACAATACCATGGAGTCACATCAAACATCCATCATATATTTTTTTAGTAGGATATACGAGAAGATTCCATATTTTTTTTATAAAATAAACTCTACTTATCAGAGTGATATATGTAGGTCATGTAGAACATTGTAATTATAAAAATATATTTGGTTTTTATCGTCCTATCTCGTAGGGTCGCCATGAATTAGGCAACAGGACGTATCGCAGCCTTTTTTGCTGCCATCTGGGAGAGGGTTTTTTGATTCCATTATACCTTATATAAATGTACTTTAAAAAGATCTCAAAGGTATTATTAATTATTACTTGTTTCTCGACATTTTCGGCTCAGTTTGTAGTGACCCTATTTGCTGTGCCAACGGTCGCGAGTTCGAGTCCCGCTGGGGGCATTCATTTGTTTGTACTCTAGTCATGGATGTCGATATTTATAATAAGTATGTATTTATAATATGTATGTATTTAAAACTATATATAGTGTATCAACTATCTGGTATCCATAACACAAGCCTCGTAGCTTACCATGGAACTAGATGGTGTTGTGTGTTAATGTCCCAACATATTTATTTATTTATATTTATACAGTATAAGTCGTATATGAACTAGTTTGTATAATAATTCAAATTCAAGTTACATTTTCAAGCAGAATAATCTTTATACGCTGTCATTAATATCTCTTCTTTGTTTATATTTACAGTTTCTATTTACATCTCTTTAATATAAAATGCGCTTGAAACAGTTCTCGAATAAGCATCTATCTAACAGTGTAGTAAAGTTCCTACTAAGGATCCACTTTTAACATCACACTACATATGAATATGGCCTAATTTACTTTACGAGAGTAGTAGCGTAAAACTATTTAGTCAGTATATTAATATTGGTCTGTAAGCTTCTAATTTTATAATGCACAGATTTATTTATTGATTGATTTCATCTAACTAAAAAAAATTCGTGGACTATATCATTTCTTACTGAATGTATTTGATAGTTTATATTATCAAAGCGTAACAAACGATTTTAGATATAAGACACCTATCGAATGTAGGTAGTTACTGCCTCGGCGGTGTAGCGGCCAGGCTATAGGCTTGCACATCCGGATGTACTGGGTTCGAGTCCCGAGTCGGCTCAAGTTATTGCTATTGCTTAAGCTACTGAGTCTCTTAAAAAAGTCGTAGTATCAGCCCGTAGTTAATTCGTCAAAAGGTGGCGCCACTGTATATAACATTATTAATATAGGACACGTGCGAGGGACTGCTTTTTCTATTTTATTTTAGCGATTGGTGTCACACAAGTGTGCACTACTTAATTGGCATTGCCAACTGGTGCGAACATGGGGAGTTTCATTTTATACGAGCTAATATAGTTAAGCTACTGTTATATGCAAACCTGCCTCGGTGGTGTAGTAGATAGCATGAACGGCTGAACACCCGAAGATCCTGAGTTCGAGTCCCGAGTCGAAATAAGTTTAGTTATTGAGTCTTTCTGCATAGTTAGCCTCACTAAAGTTCCATAACGGGTAACTGATTTGTCCCTAGTTATGTTTTTATGTCTAGTATAGATTTCTCGGAGATTAGTTATTTTCCCACAATAAAAAGTATCCTATATGTTGACCCGGATCGATAATAATGACTATTTCAATAAAAATAAATAAGATTTTCCAAAAAATATTTAATGAACAGATTCGACTCAGTCACTCATTTTATTATACGTATAGATTGCTATTATGTGCTTAATATAAATAATATAAATATTATAAAGACGTAAAGTTTGTGAGATTGTGATGTTGTAGAGGGCAATCTCTGAATCTACTGAACCGATTTTGATGAAATTTGGTAATAAGATAGTTTGAGATCCTGGAAAGGACATAGGATACTTTTTATCCCAGAAATCATCCCTTCAGGGGGGTGAAAATGGTGATGAAAATTTGTATGGGGAATCAGTCACCCTCGCTTAGCTCGTGTTCCTCCCTAGCCTTTTATAAATCTTTAAATGCTTGTTATTTCTTCTTACTGTAACTGGACAGACCATATTGTGTAACATATATACAAACTTTGGCATTAATAGTAGTATGTTATCATTAAAATAAAGCCAGTTGAGTTAGTAACATGCGTAGCGACGTCACCGATTAACGTTGGATGTATGAGAATTATACTCGTAACTAGCGTCCCCGGTTGTTAAAGAGGTTGCCGGAATGAATTTTGTCAACTCCTTAGTGGTTATGGCACTTAAGATTATATTTTAACCCATTACCATATAAATGATTACACTTTGCATATATAAAGGTGCTAACTTAAATTTATAATATTTTAAAGGGTTTGTTTCGGTTTCTTTATTTTTATGTGAAACTTGATGCGAGTAGTGTTGTATTTGTCAGTTCAACGCGATTAGGTTTTATATCCTTTTTATTTTATTTATTTATTTTTATTTACTTTATCGGTACGTTTTAACAGTTAGTATGGAATAGATAGACTATATATTATGTGTATACATAGGTATGATTGGTGTGGGTTATATTATAACGTGTTTTCTAGTGGGAATGAGATAATCTCCCGATATAAAAAGTAGCCTATCTCAATCTCCAGCCCTCCAACTATCTCCATACAAAAAATCACGCCAATCCGTCACTCTGTTTCGACAAACAAACGAACTTTCACATTTATAATATTAAGTATCGATATGAAATTCTGGAATACCTTTTAAGCTTTCTTTGGCCATTAATTATACTATGGCAATTGTAGCAAAGTAGAAAATAATCGTTTTTTTTTTAATAAAAAAGTTTTAACGTAAACAAGACAAGAATGAAAAGCCACTTATTAATAAACCTAATTTTAATATTGTGACAGGTGTGTTGACAGGTGTGTCGACCATGTTGGCTGTCATATTTTTATGTTGTAGAAAACTAAATAGACTTCGCGTCGCAACGTTTAAAACTGACTGACATTGGCGAAATAATATGTGCTCGACTGTCATGCATTTTAATAGAGAATTGAATTGAATTAGAAGTCACAAAAGAGAGAATTGAATTGCATTTTTATTCACATATTGAGTAATTATTCCAAACTTTCTAAAACTATTATTCATAACTGCCTCGGTGGTCTAGTGGCTTGAATGTAAGGCTGTACATCCGAAGGTCATGGGTTCGAGTTTCGGGTCGGATCAAGTTTAGTTATTGAGTCTATCCATTTAGTAAGTCTCCGTAACATTCCGGAGTTGGGAAGTTGGCGATGTTACACCCACGTGCCTCGGAGAGCACGTAAAACCGTCGGTCCTGTGCCTTAACTCTCACCGGTCGTGTCGAGCAGTCGTCCCACCGGAGTATGAGAGTGACAGGAATAGAGAGTGCTCGTTGTGTCTGCGCGTACACTTGTGCACTATAACATCTCCTGCGCAGTTGGCTAGTCTCAATGAGATTGACCGCCGTGGCCGGAATCGGTCAGGAGAACATTATTATTATTAATTAATCAAACTTTTATCTCTTTTGGACATTACTATCGCTTCAATGAACTATGATTCTTCAATGAATAGAACAAATATACAATAAAGATAGAGAAATCTCACCTGCTATATCCATAAATAAGAGGAATCAGGCGTTTAAAACCATTAAGTACATAAAAAGTAAAAACATTTAAATTCTAAATCTAAAAAATCTGCAACCTAACAATAACTCTAACCGACAACTTCTCGTGGATTAAATAAATTTGCATAAAAAGTCAATTAATATCCACGTCCTTTTCCCTGTTTGCTTTGAGCCGCCACGTACACTGTACAGCGAGGGCCGAGTATGCAAATATGAATGTTATCCTGAGGAATATTTTAATATAATAACTCATAAGTAATAGCTCATTGGTGGCGTGCTTGCTTGAAAAATCAAGTGCAGCAGGTTCTAAACCTGGTCGCGAACTTATATTTTCATATGATGAAGGAAAATATCGTAAGAATTCCCGCTTATTTGAGGGCCTAATTTCGTCGTTCACTCAACTCTGACCACTGTGGAAGACTGTAGACCAAAGTCCATTGCTATGTAGACCTGTACCTATCACGCTGGAAAGATTGAATTATTTATTTTTAAGGAGAGCTGTGTTTAAGGTTGTAAATGAATATTTGGAAAGAGAAAACGTCAAACATTATTGTTTATATCACGTACAAGCAACTTAATTTTAACTTAAAAAATTAAACTTTTTTAGTTAAAAATTGTTAAGGTAAATAGTAGCGCGACGCAGTAGGCTATAGACATAGTGCTATCAACATACGCCGGCTGTTCCATGAGGTATATCAGATATTTAGATAATTTATAAAGCTCAATTATAGGATTTAAATCTCAGCTCTCACAATATATTTTGGAAAATAACCAATTTAATAACATTTAATAAACATACATCTGTAACTATATCCTATCTCGTGAAACCCTTTTTTTACATCTTGGTCTTCAAGAATAATACACTCAATCATAGGAATATATATATAATCTATAAAAGCTCGCTAAGTAGGCAATTGTCATAAAAGTTCACATATGTATTAATAAGCTTGTGTAGGAATTCGTGCTACGCAATAAATAATGGAAGCCCCAGCTAACTCATAACAAGGGCAAATGCTTGTCTATACATACTCATATCTTTGATCATAATATCGATCTAATTGACGCATAAAGTACTGGACAGTATTTATCTATACAAATACCTAATAAAATTCCGAGTCGAATTTATACCTTAAATATTTTTTGGAAAATCTTATTGAAATCGATTATCG